ATTACATCCCAGTTAACGTATATCATTTTTTTACTACCTTATACTAAAATATAGGGAAATGTCTCAGGGCATGGAAACGTAATGTTTTCTTTTGTCCAGATTATGTGATAAATATTTTGAGTGTGTATGTAATAAAATATGCAAACATATTACACTTGCAAAGTAAACAGAATTATGTGAATTTGCATTGGTGGTTGGGATTTTATAAAATTGTGAATAATATTTTCGTAAATAATACTTAACGTGAAAGGCGTTTTCTCGTTGGTGTGTATCATTTATGCATATATACATATCTCATATACATGTACTTTGTGTCATTTTAATTATACATGGTATTCCCAGATTAACACCGGTTGTTAATGACACAAACATTATATTCTCAACTCCGATGGAAAGACAAGTTTCTGCCACTCACTGCAAAAGCCACTTCTCGCAAAGCTACTAGTTCTATGTAATAAAAAAGTATACAAAATACAACGACAGAAATTGTATTTGTGCACATACCATCGCAGTTAATTCCGCATTCTGTATAGTCTTCGGTAGAACCTTCACAGTCACCACCCTGTATTAAGCAAATTCTTTGTCTCTGCTTAAAACCATCGGAACATGGGTCAGAACACGAACCCCATGGCGACCATGAACCCCAGTCTGCAAAGCAAATCAGGAAGGTGAAACAAAACGACCATAAAAATATAAATAGAATTAGAGTTAGATCTTGTGCGTCCGGACACGGAAGTAACATTTCTTGGGATTCCAATGCGAATACGAACGACCGACGTACACGATTACGTTCGAATATTTCAATACAAGTAACTAATCGCACAAATACCATATCGTTTAAAATGTTAATTACGTTTTTGGATGGACGAGTTCAAAAACAAAATCACACCGAAACCATACAAAATAAACTAGTGTATTTTGAACAAGTTTGTTAGATGGTGTTCAAAAAACGGATTACAAAATGGCTTGGAATTCACAGTTGATAAGTGCATTTCCTTTTTTAATTGAAAGCGGGGTCGTCACCTGTTCATGCGTCAGATGGCCATAGCGTGTCATTGTTTACAAACAAGGGTCTACCCATGAGCCCTTGCGTTTTTAGCGTGCTTTATCGTCGCTTGGGACTCAACTCGCGCGTGGCAAATTAACGATGATACGACATTTGTATTCTTCGATTATCAAAAGAAGAACACTACACAGCAGTATAAGAATAATAATATCTAAGCTATTTTGAACATATTCGATACAGAATGTTTTTTTGTTATTTTTTTGAGAAACGGGTTACTCAAACAAATGAAGACGGTTCAAATTGGTGGTTGTTGATTTGTAGCACGCACCCAGACGCTTACGTAATAAAACGGGACGCACTGTGATACGTTGTACAGCACATCACTATACTAGTATTCCATTTGCCGTGGTTACCAGAAACTGTACTCACTAGTTTCAACACGAATTGGGTAAATTACATATTGTACGTAAACATTGCCCCTATTCAAAACGTTACCGATCGGGATTGATTTTCTGCAAATTCTTGTCTCTAAAAAAGTACATATTATGATTGATAAATGTGCTGTTTTTTTTAAAAATTATTTTTGAGCCAGGCGGCAGTTCTGAACATAAATTATCAATGTATTATCTGCTGACTTGTTAATGATTTTGCTGCAGAAACCATAATCCGTGTTTGGAAGTAGGTGACAGGAATGTGTGACCATTTTCCATCATAATAGCATTACATCATAATTCGCAACCGTTAGTTAGTGAATCTTTGCCAGTGTATGTAGCCGTCCTATTGAGTCTACAAGACACTCACCCAGGGTTAGGGATCGACATTTTTTGATGTTCAACCACAGGTGAAATTTGAACTCCGGTCTACTAATCATCAGTCTGATGCCTCATTTACGAATTCTTACCTCCAGTGTTCGTCATTTGAAAACTAATCATTCTGGCCGCTCCTTCTATATCTTGCATTACTTGTCTGACATCTGTTAATGCGAAATGGAAAGTAACAGTGGTGAGTGAGTAATCTGCACATTTAGGAGGAAACATATTGAGTGAAATGAAAAAAAAATGGGTGAGTTTCCGTTTACTGTGCGATCTCGCGTAATGCGTGGAAGGTACGCACTGAACTTCTGAGATATCGATTTTTTTGAAGAAGAATATGACGTTGAGATATCCATACTTCATAAAAATTGACCATCATCAAAAATTGACCATCATCACTTTAAATACCAACGACTTTCGCGTTAAATACCGCGCGATGTATTGACGCCGTTACATCTTTGCTCGTGTCTTGTTTTTACCTTTGATTTAACATATAGCGCGAGATTTTGCAATGAACGGAAATGTTATATTGACCAGTAAATGAATTATCATATCACAGCTAAAGTTCAACTAAATTGGCATCACTCCTACGCCCCTACGTCACACGATACACAATAGCTGTTAATACTTACGACCAGGAGGACATTCGTGAGTGTTGCACGCTTCAAACTTCATTGCATCCCCCGGACATTTTCTGCCATAGGAATCTGGATCATCAGTGTCATAGTAACAATTCCGGCTGTAAAGCACTTCCCCGCCACCGCAATTAAAACTACAGTCTGTGGCTTTCTCCCATGGTTCCCATTCACCTGTCACGGTAAAATATAATCTAATATAATGTAAAGTCTTAATATATATCAATAACACATGCAATTTCACATGGGCAATATCACATGGTTGTCTACGTCACAGTATTGTTCATATATACCTGCCATTAATTTCACAGATATCGCATTCACATCGATAATGACATCATACACATACGTACTCGCCTTTCTATCGCCCTTAAAGTAATAGCCTACTCATAAATTGAAATACCCAAAATTGATTCATTTTGCAATAAAATTTACTCCAAG